GCATGGGCTCTGGACCCAGGGCATCTGACTGTGGATGACCACGGACTGAGGAGCAGAAGGAAGGAGGAGCCGGCAGAGGGACTCACGGTTCATGTTGATCTGCTGGGACAGTTCGATGAGCTCCATCTCGGTGGGCATGTAGCCCATGGTGCGCATGCAGTTGCCCAGGTCCCGGCAGTTGATGTAGCCGTCCTTGTCCTTATCAAATTCTTTAAAGGCCTCTCGGAGTTCTGGGGAAGTGAACAAGGGCAGATGGGACTGGAGTGGGACTTGCAGATCTCCTGGGGACAGAGGCAACCCAAAGGCCCACCAGCTTAGAGACATCCCTGGAAGTCCCTGGGACCCTGCAGCACTTCCTGGCTTCCTGCTAGCTCCTCCTCTGTCTGGATCCACCAAGGATGCCCTGCTGTGTCAGGCCTGAGCCCAGGAGGCCAAGCTGTCTCTGCCTCTCTTCCCTCCAACCTCCCTCCTTCCTGGAAGGCTGAGCAGCCTTGTATTCCAAGGGCCCAAATTTTACCTTCGATCTCCTCTGGCCGCAGTGATCTGTCCTGAAACAAAACAACATGCTCTGTTAGCAGCAGCAGGGGACCTGGAAGTCACAAAATGAGGCCTGAGGCCATCTGAATGGCAGCGGGAACTGGGCAGGAGGTGACAGAGACACAGCAGAGCCGTGCCCGGGTCATGTCCCTGCAAGGTGCAGCCCCACTTCTCCCAGTGACAAGGGAGCTCCTAGGCTCTGGAAGAAGATGCCCAAGGACCCACGGCCCCTTTGGCCTGAGCACAGGCCTCTGAGCCCCTGACCCCCTAGTCCAGCCACACTGCAAGAATAAATCAGGAACAGAGTTGGTCTGGAAGCAAAAATCCTGTAAATAAACAGGGCTGGGAGAGGGCACGACAGAGAGAGGAGAGCGCCACCCAAGGGAACCAGGAAGAGCTGGAGCAGAGGACTGAGAGGCAGGGAGAGACGGGGCCCGGAGAGGAAGAAGCTGGACAAGTCCCCGAAAGGAGGAAGAGCAGAGAATGAAGCCAGGGAAGAGCTGGAGGAGGTGAGGCAGAACTGGGGCTGTGCCCTGCTCCTGGGCACTGCCCCACCTTCTCCAACTCCACCTCTGTCTCTATACCTCGCCCTGTCTCAGGACACAGCACAGGACCCTGGGGGCCGCCAGTGCCTCTGGCAGCTGCCAGGGTCCAAGGCGCATTCACACTTCACCTCGGGTATGCCCAGGTCTCCTTGCAGAGCCCCCAGGAACCCTGAGTCTGGGCCGGATGGCAGAGAAGTGTCCAAAGAGCAGGCCCGGAGGAAGCACAGCAGGGTCAGGTCAGCAAGATGCCAGTCACCCCAGGCCTGTCCAGGAGAGACATGGACTGGCATGAAATGGATACGGGTACCCAGCTGGGCCTAGCTAGTAGGTTTCAAAACTGGCCCACAGGGCTCTTCCTCAAGTATTACAACTCTCTGCCTTAGGGTGGGAAGAACACAAGGCAGGTGGGCCCGTCCTGAGGCCCTGAGGAGGCGCATGACAGGTATGGGCACACCTGCCCTGAACACGGTCCCTTGGGCATGCCACAATGTGTAGGAGGCATCTCAGCTGTGCACACAGGCCGCTCAGCCACAGGGCCAGGGTGGGTGGAGACAGCAGCTGCCCACTCAGCCACACTGGCCCCAGGCAAGGGACTCCAGCACTGGGAAGGGATCATCTGGAAAGGGATGGGGCTGCAGAGCAATATTCAGAACAACAAGGTGCACAGGGCGCGGAGCTCAGAGGTGACCATTAGAGGCAGGACGGCATTGGGAGTACGTATGGGCTTGGAATGAGCAAGCCGTGAGCTCTCACATCCTCAGCTAGAAGCACCCGAGGCAGTGTTTCCGGCTGAAGGTACGAGTCACCTGAAGGGGCCTATGTCTCTAGGAGACAACTTTCATTTAAAAAGCTCATTGTGGAGACAGCAGATGGTGCAGCGGTTACGTCACTGGACTCCCACATGGCCAATCATGGTTCGCATCCCAGACCCAGTTTGAAACTCATGCTGGGCGTGTGTGCCCAGGATCCAGAGAGACCAGTGGAGGAGGAATTGTGGCATGGCCATCCCCCCTGGGGGGGATACCTTCTCGTTTTCTATCTCTTTGTCTTTCTGTTTCTCCAGCAAGCACACATGTCTTATAGCAAAAATCTCTCTCTTGATAAGTAAATAAATACAAAACCTGGTCGTGGTGCATGGTGCAGAGATATATCAGTCTCATTCTTAAATGGACCCATATGCTCCTAGACGTTCTTAAGGGACCAAAAAAGGTGTTTCTGCAGTGTCATGCCACCAGCAAGCGAGAGGGCGTGAGTGTGTGCGTGTGCACATGCGTGCACCGTGTACTCACTAGGACCAGCTACTTAGACGTAACACTTCCTTCCCCACCCGTCAGGCCTCGAGTAGCCTCCACTTCTCCAAGGCTCAGTTCTGCAGGAAAAGGGAGGACGAGGTGCTGCAGCCCCACCCGTGCTCCCTGTACACCTGGATTCAGGGAGCAGCATGGGCACCGGGCACCTTTCACAGTGCGCTGTGGCAGGAACTGGGCTGCTACCCTGGTGGCCGCTCCTGAGGTCCCCTTCACCAGGTGTGAGGAGAAGCTGTGCTCTGGAGGGCAGCCGGGATGCCCACCGACAGAGGAGGGAAGCCATGTGCACCGCCTCAGTGGGTCAGGGGGCAAGGAAGCACACGCACATGCCTCTCTCCCCAGTTGACATGGTCAGGAGAAGAGCTTGGGCTCTAGAGACAGCCAGACCCGAGTACAAAGTCCAGATCTGCTTCGTCCTCGCTGTGGGACCTTGGGCAGGTCACTGTGACTCTCGGACGCACACCTGTGAAATGAGTTAATGCCAGTGTCGCTCCATGAGACAAGCTCTGCGAAGTGTTTAGCTTGTGGCATGTACTCAACGGGACCAACAAAGGTTTGTGTCTGGGACATTATCATTATTTTTTTTAAGAATCATCTTATTTAACTTTATTTATTTATTTATTTATTTAGAGAGGTTTCTGCTATAGAATGTGTTTGCTCACCAGAAAGAGAGAGACAGAGACAGAAAGCGAGAACTAGCCTCCCAGGGGGGATGGCCACACCTCAATCCCTTCTCCATTCTCCTCTTGGGATCTTGGGCATGCATGCACACACGCCTGACGTGAGTTTAAGCCACCAGGTCTGGGACTTGAACTTCGGTCGACGTAGCCATTATGCCATCTGCTGGTCCCTTTATTTCTTTCCTTCCTTCTTTCCTCCCTCCCCCCGCTCTCTCTTTCTTACAATTTGACCACAGAGAGAAAGACTCTGAGAGAGAGTGACAGAGCAAGCCACCAGGTCCAGGATTCAAACTGCGGTCAGTCTTGTGGGAGTCCAGCATCCACAAACCACCATGCCACCTGCTGACCCCTGACATCATCATTATTACTTTCCTTCCTGAAAATATTCAGAAACTTGTAGGATGCTGTCCCATATGGTAACGCATGGCTATGTAAATTCAAATTAGAATAAAATAAAATTGGTAATTCAGTCTCTTCTTAGTCACACTATCCACATCTCAAGTGGTCACTAGCTGCATGTGGCTGGTGGCTATTGTTTTTGATAGCACAGACTTCAGAATATTTCCACTACCAGGGCCGGCAGGCAGTGTGGTAGTTAGGGCGTTGGACTCCCACACGGCCAACTGCAAGGTGGTGTGGTAGTTAGGGCGCTGGACTCCCACACGGCCAATTGCAGTTTGAATCCCGAATCTGGCAGCCTGCTTTCTCACTTTCCCTCCCTCCACCCCTCTTTCTCTGTCTCTATGGTTAAATTAAAATAATAATAATAACAAATAAAGTTAAATAAATAATTCTTTAAAAAAAATAGAAGAATATTTCTACTACCATAGAAAGTACTGGACAGCCCTATATTTATAGAATTGTTAAGAGGCAGACTACCTGGGTTAGAGTCCTGTCTACTTCCTACTAGCTGCTCCCTCGAGCATGTTAATTCTCCAACTCAGTTTCGTCATCTGTAAAATGAGATGATAAAAGTACCTACCTCTTGGAGTTGATCTTGGGCTTAAATGGGGCAACCCACCGACACACTTAGCCCCTCAGCGGGCACACAGCAAGTGCTCAGACACATTGTCTCCACGATTATCATTTCTGGCTGGTGGACATGGATCCACCCGCCCTTTGAAGCCATGAGCAGGGAACTTTGGGGATCAGATTCACAAGTTGGGGTTTGAGGTATATCCACTGGGAGACAGGGCGGCTGTGTTCGGAACCCCTCTTCATCCCAGCACCGCCTCTTGCCCTGTGAAGCCAATGAGGGCGGACTCCACCGGGCCAACTTACGTACAGGCTGCCTGTTCTCGGCGAAGCCCTTGCGCAGGAAAATGCAGGCAGGGCCCAGCAGGTTGTGCATGACGGCGCAGTTCTGGGCCAGCATCAGGAGCGGCCCAGGGAGCTCCTCGCTGGCCGCCAGCCCCTCCTCGCTGGTCTGCACCACCATGTAGCTGCTCTTCTCCTCCTGGCGCATCTTCAACCAGCACCAAGCAAATACAAAACAGAGGTAAGCCGTCACCTCCTTCAAGAGAAGGCCTTGGAGAGCCAAGTGGGCAGGTTCTGGGCAGGTTCAGGGAGCCCTCAGGACGCTCAGGGGCCAGCAGCATTCGGTCTGGCAGACGGAGTCTCCAATCCCTGACTGAAACGGATGTTCCAGAGGGAGCTAGGCATGACGCCCATGGTGTGGCTCATGCATACACATACACACACACACACACACACACACACACACACACACTAATACAGGCACTAATACAGAATCACTCATCCAAGTGCACATGAAGCTCAGAAAAAGAAACAGAGGGAGGCTCCTGTTCTAACCCACGGAAAGTGCTCACTCAGAGCTCAGGGAATGACACCCTTTTCCAAAATGCTCCCAATGTCCAGCCCAATCCCTGGGCCTGTCATTTGTCCCAGCTCTCAAACTGACTCTGACCCTCTGCCCTGGCTAGATCCTCGGTGGAAGGCTGTGAGGCCAACAGAGAACACAAAGGCAACACAGAGAATGGGCCTGGCCAGTCTACTGGACCGGAAGGTGCAAATCCAGGTGGCATCGCCAGCAGAAATGAGGCAGGCCAGGTGGAAGAGGTTGGGACTGGGGGGATGGATACCTCCTCTGAAGCCTCCTCTGTGTGGTCCCTCTGAAGGAACGGCACTACTTAACTCTAGCCCAATGTCCCCAGACCTGCCACTCTGAAGCATCAGGTAGGTCAAACAAGACCCATCTGTGAATCGGATGCCACCATCTGTAGCCTTGAGACCAGCTACTCCGTCATCCAGCAGTACTTTTCCTCCCTCCCGCCTTCCCTGGCTCCCTGCCCAGCCCGGCATGCCGGACCTCTGGAGACTGAGGCAGGGACCTTCTTTGCTGACCGAATATAGCTGTGCTCCCAGGCCCTGGCCAAGCCATCCTCCTCCCTGAAGGTTCCCATGCAGCTATAAAAAGCCAGCACTGCCCACAGACCTTCCCCTTAGGACCACAGCAGTGTCCGGCCACAACACTGGGTTCCACTCCAGCCTCCCCAAGATGCCCAGTGCCTCCCCAGAATCCAGATTACAATGTTCTGCCTTCATCCTGGAGCTTGGGCACCTCCCGTCAGTGTGGGGATTTGGAGCAGATCCTTCCCAAGAAGAGGAGGGTAGCTGAAAGCCTGAGGGTCGTTTTGTCTGAGGACTCTGGAGTGGCACCCCTACTTTCCCATCTTACTGCACTCACTTCCAGCCAGCTTCTTCCAGCTCAAAACAACACCATCCCAAGGCCCAAAGCAGCCTGTCCCCCAGGCTGAGAGACAGGACTACGCTCCCCTGCCCCAATCCTCTCATGCTTCTTCTCCCCAAAGCCCCACACTGTGCAGCTGTAGATGGAGACTCCCTTCCCACGTCCTAGGTCCCTTCCAGGCCTAGAGAGGGAGCATGTTCTGGTTCCTCGGGAAGCAGCAACTCTGACCCGAGGGTAAGGAACTCATTCATGGCTCAAGCTCGGTGCATGTAATAAGGGTCAGTTTTAGGTCATCTCTGAACTTGAGAGATGTCAAAGAGACCAATGACCCATTCTGGTTTGAAGCCCCAAAAAGATAAGATTCAGAGCCTCGGACTTCCGGAACCCCGGCTATGGTGAGGGCAGAACAAGAGAGAACTTCCCACCTGGGAGGCCAGGCTGAAGGATGCTTGAGTCGATGGTGGCTCTACCCCAGGAAATGTTTGTAGAAAATCAGCCTTCTTGTTTCTGACTGAATCTCATGTGCCTGACCCAGGAGGGAAGAGGCAGCAGGTGGCACAGAACCCTGAGAGACAGCTTAATATGCTGGCTTTGGTTCAAATAGACTTAAGGACAAATTCTGACTCTGCCCCTTGCTTGCTGTGTGCCCTTGGCCAGTCACTTCACCTCTCTGGGCTCCAGTTTCCCTCTCGGTGCAATGGGGATAATCATGTCTACTCTGGTGAGAAATAAACACACTGTTGCACATAAAGTGCTTTGCACAGCGCCTAGAGTGTGGTAAGCGCTGGATAAATGGGGTTGCCATAGTGATGACAATAATGATGATGATGATGACGACAATGATGATGATGCAACTTATGAGATGCTGGGTGCCGGAGGCATTTAATTCTGGCTCCAGAGGAAGTGAGGAGTGTGCCAATCAGAAAAGGAACGAGAAGGATGGAGAGGACTTTGCTCCCATGAGGAATGAACCGGTGGTGGCTGGGGAATTTCCACTGCACCTCTTGATTGTAATACTGCCTGGCACCAAGTTGCCCCAGGAGGCTGCAGTTCTTCTCTGGCCAGTGATGGCACCTGACAGCCTGGTCCTGCCCAGCTCAGAGCCTGGAGCAGGTCACCTCTCACCATTACCACGTTCCCAGCTTCCACTGAGGAAGCCCAGTGGGCAGCAGCCCGTGGACTGACAATGTCTCCTGGCACCTAGAGGACGTCTTCTAAGTGTGGTGGAGCAACAGGAGGGGCTGGAAAACCTCATGACCTAACAGCTTTCTAACAAAACAAGCCTGCCAAGAGGATCCAGGTCAAAGCTCCCTCTCACCGAAGGCATTTATTCAAGGAGAAGCTGAAGGAGCGTTTGGCGAGGTGGGAGAAGGGATTGCTGCACTGAGTGAGCATTTGGACGAGGCAACCTCTCAGGTCAGATTCAGGAATCTATGAATAACATTTCTGACAGCAGGAGAAAGAGAGAGGCAGCTTCTCATAGAGGAAAATAAATAAATAAATAAAATACCAGCTCTGATTTCTCCCAGACCAGGATTTAAATCCTAGCTCAGCTTCTTGTTGACTGCATGGCCTTAGCAAGGCTCTTATCTCTGAGTCCAGCTCCTTTCTCTACAAAATGGCAAGAGAACTACTTAGTGAGAAATAGAAAAGAAGATAACAGATGTTAGGTAGGTTGTGGATATTCAGTTAAAAGCAATTATTAGTAGGATTACTAAAAACCCATAAAATTAAATGTAATAACTTTTATAATATTCCACCTCACTACATGGATTTATTTATTTATTTAAAAAATTTTTAAAGAATTATTTTATTTAACTTTATTCATTCATTCATTCATTCAGAGGATCAGAGACAGGGAAAGTGAGAAAGCAAGCCACCAGGTCTGGGACTTGAACTGCAGTTGGCCATCTGGGAGTCCAGAGCCCTTAACCACCATGCCACCTGTCAGCCCCTTAAAAATGTTTTTTTCTTTTTTTTTTTTAATGATTTTTTTTTTGAGAGGTTTTTCACTATAGGGTGCGTGCACTTGCCAGACAGAGAGAGACAGAGAGACAGAAAGCGAGAAATCACCCCCCCCCAGAGGGGATGGCCACGCCACAATCCCTTCTCCTCCTTTCTCCTCTTGGGGTCTTGGGCACGCACGCACACACGCCCAGCGTGGGTTTTAAGCCACCGGGTCCGGGACACAAACTGCGGTTGACTACGTGGGAGTCCAGCGACATAGCCATTACGCTAACTGCTGGTTCCCCCCCTTAAAATTTTTTTAAGAGAGGGACCAGCAGGTGGTGTGGTGGTTAAGGTGCTGGACACTCCCACATGGCTGGCCATGGTTCGAGTCCCAGACCTGGTGGCTTCCTTTTTCCCTTTCCCTTTCTCTTCCTCTCTATCTCTTTCTCTGTGTCTCTCTCTGGTCATATTAAAATAAATTAATAAATAAAATAAAATAAATTTAAAAAAGGATTAAAAAAATTTTAAGAGAGATTTTTGCTATAGGGTGCATAGCAGAGAGACAGAGAGACTGAAAGCGAAAAATCTCCCCCCCGGGGGATGACCACACTGTAATCCCTTTTCCTCCATTCTCCTCTCAAGATTTTGGGTATGTACACACACATACTTGGCATGAGTTTTAAGGCGCCAGGTCAGGACTCAACCCACAGTTGACTACGTAGGACTCCACCGACATAATTATCATGCTATCTGCTGGTCTCTCACTACATAGATTCAAAACCCCTTTTCTTATCTCTTCCATCCTTCTTCAAAATCCAGAGTGGAAAAATTACAATTATGATGACAATAATATTAACATTTACTGAGTACTATATGCCAGACATATAGTACTTTAATTCTCACAATTACCGTCGAAGGTAGATATTAGTATCCCTAATTGATGGATAAAGAAACTGAGGAGCAGAGAAGTTAAATAATTTTCCCGAGATCAAATGACTGGAAAGAGGAAATCTGAGTAGTACCAGGAGTCTTCATAACGCTCATGGAAAATGCATATTATAGACAAAGGAAAAAAGAAAAAAAGCCTATGTATAGGTTTTGAAAAAAATTTTGCACCAAAAGAAACTTATAATTGAATTCTATTTTTCATGGACTTGTTGAAGGACCCACATATGACTCTCAAGCACTCTGCCATCTAAGGAAAAGAGGGTGGTGGGTGGGACAGAAGGACAATTCTTGTTCTTAATCTTCAAGCTCTGGACAGAACCCACTGCGAGGACTTTTGCCCTGTGATCCTCTCAACGAATTCAGATCAGTCTCTGCTTATCTACAACAGTGTGGAGGCCACCTCTGATACAGAAGATTCCCCTAAGAAGAAGACAGATTATGGGGGGGGCGGGTGCGCTGAAGAAACAATCAACTCTCAGAAGGATTCAAGAACAGCAAAGATTAAAAGGAATTTGATGTGAGCTGCTTAGCTAAATGAGAAAGACAAGCAGTAAAGCCCGAAATGTCCTAAATTGCGAGGTTGTCAAACTGACCGAGGAGCTAGGATGAGGCTAGGAAGGGGGTGGTGGTAGAGGGGCCAGCAGCCAACCTGAGCCCTTAGATAAGTCACTAAAACCACTCTGAACCAAGATCCTTGTCTGGAGAGTGGAAGCCTTGGAGGAAAACACATCTATCATTTTTTCTTCCTTTAAATAATATGTACGAATCCCTTCTATGGTCTGAGCTAGAAAGCCAGGCAGAGCTCACCTGAAGTAAAGCCCAAAAGACTTACAAGTCAGCCCAGATTTACATGAAAG